AGAGAGAGAGAGAGAGAAGGAGAGAAGAGAGAGAAAGAGAGAATATTGCGGATCCGCGTGTTGGTACAGCCGGGTCTTTCTGGCACGCGCCTCGAAAATGGCGTCGGCCGGTGACGTCACGTAATCCACCGTCGTGCTCGTGCACCGTTTCCACGGGTGAGAGCAAAAGGGTAGCCGGGGATGGCTAGCGAGCCTCGATTGGTCAGCCAGCTGGATGGAGGGAGTGGTCGAAAGCTGCCGGTTTATATCGATCTCTCGAAGTCGGTTCGTTCGCGGATGGAGAGACACTACGGTGAACCGGAGCTGGCTCCGCGGCGAACGCGCGTCCTCTTCGTCCTTTAATCCTTTCCTTCGAGGACCTCGAACGGCTTCGTTTCCGTAACATGGATCGTACGGAATCGTTGGGAATGTCGGGCCAAATCATTTCATCATTTGATTCCGCGTTATCGTGGATATCGTGTTGAATTAGCCAAGCGTTGATTTAACCTTGATTCGCAACGCGGGAGAATCGAAATTCATCGGTCGATTAAATTGATTTGTTATTTATCTAATAATTAATCAATTAATAATTATTCGCATTAGTTGTGACGTGAAATATCGATATTGCACGTGCCTGGCAGAGAAGTTTTCTCAATTTTTTAATTCGAAGGAGGAAAATTATAAAAATTCGTATTCGTACACGTGGGACGTATAATTTGTCGCTTTTATCGAAAGATTCTCGGAAAGGATTAGGGCCATGGGAAACGTTAAAGGCACAAAGATTTAGAAGCTTAATTTTCAATTAATACTCGTTCATCGGTGCACACACGAGTTTCGAGGTGGGGTGAATCAAAGTGGGGTGAATCTCTCTCCTTTACCACGAGTATATTGGATTTCAGGCTGCGAGGGGTTTGACCCCCATTGATAAGGGTCATCTCTTTCGATACGTAACCCCCGACGTTGGCAAGGCTCCCATTACGACGCGAGGGTCGAGAGTTTGCTTTTTAAAACGGGGGTGTTCGATTTAATTTAATCCAAATGCTCCCGGCTCTCGTCTTTTGACGAACGTTGAAATTCACCATTCGAGATTAAGGATGAACAAAAGGATGATGATAAAATTAGCAAGCGAGGAATTATTAATTTTTAAATAAATCGGGTTCGCGATCGAATCATTTATTTTTCCCTAAATATTTTCTATTTTCTGCGAGTTTTAATAATTTCAGAGAAGCATGAAAACGCAAAGGATAGATTTCGCAAAATTCTCGGGTTAAACGCCGAATTTCCACCGACTTTACGCTTTGTTTCTCCGTTGAAAGGACCGAAGGGAATTCCTCCTTGTACCATCTTGCTGTGCTCTTTGATATCGCGATATTGAATGCCGAAACATTCATAACAGGTGCGTTCGTCCGTAACTTTGTATTCATCGAGTCGCGAACGTCTGAGGTTTCGAATGGAAACACTTGGGCGTGTAGATATTCTTCGTATAATAAAGATTTAACACAACTACGTCTATCAAAGACGGCTCGTTTTCGAGAAGAATATTTTAGAAAAAACTATGATAACTTTTTTAATAATACAAACATACTTGGAAATAGAAGAAATTTTTTTTAACTTAATAAATTTAAGTTAAATTTTTACGTAGCTTCGACCAAGGACACGTTATATGAGATGTATTACCTTCTATTATCTCGCTGAAAAACCATAGCTACATAGTTAAAAAAAAAAAAAAAAATAATCTTTCGTTCGAGTAATTCGTCAGTTTGTTCAGTTTTATTTCACCAATACCCAAGCATTATATCTACCTGTTCTCCTGTGATCGTAATCTCCGTGAGAGAGCATTCTAATTCGATACGGAGGGCCGGCGAATAACGCCGTATAGCATAAGTGTCAGGACGATTTATGCGAGCCGCGTAAGTGCCTACTTACGTGCCTATAACATTTTCACGGTTCAGTATGCGAAGCCAATATGCCGGAACGAAGTGGAAGAGAGGGTGTTGCTGGTAAATGATGTGTCGGATAACACGGACAATATTGGCCGATGTTGGCTGCTTTTCCCTCTCCTACGCATTTATATGCCGTACAACCCGCGTTGATTACGACTCCCCGCATTTTCTACTCAAATCGAATATGTAATATAAAAGATTTAGAAGTATCGCGATTCGCAACTACGATCGAATTTTTTTTTTTTTTTTTTAACTTTATCGAAACGAAGATAACGTATCGATATAAAGTTTCATCGTGTATCGGAACAATGATTTAAGTTTAAGAATTTTATTTCTATATCATATCAACGATTCGAGTTTCGAATTTATTCTGTATCCAAGTCGAGATTTGATCGATCGATCAAATATTTATTACGATCGTCGAAACGTTGGATTTCTTCTCACGACGCGTTCGTTTTCCGATCGATCGGCTTTCTATAGATTATAGCGCGGTTCGCGTTCCCTTGCTCGTCAACAGAGATCGAATCTTTTGTATCTTTTCGCTCGTGTTTCTTTCTTCTTTTTTTTCTTTTTTTTTTTGTATATGTGCGTGCGCCGATATGGCAACGCGGCGGACGCACACGTAGACAGCTGACTTTGAAGCAGCAGGTAGATCCACGTGCTGACACGTGTATACGCCGACAGATACAAACTTAATCGGGCGTGACGTACACACCACGTGCCGTGAATTTAAGTATTCGAAAACGTTCATCTTCGTCTCGCTTCGGTTGAAATTACAGCTTACGAAGGGCTATACGTTCGATACAGATGGATACGATGGGACGATGATCAGAGAGTTATGGTCAATTCTGGTCTTCGATCGAGTGGATGAAATTAAAAGGAATATCGTGGAACGATATTTATTGGGGGATTTTATTGTTATTCGTTTAAAATGAATGAAGAGACGACGCGAGGAGGAGTTGTTGTTAATTACGAACTCTCGAACTCGAGGAATTGGAGAGTCGAGAACCGGAATGATCCGTAGGGTCACCGTTTCGAGATATCGAGATGGGAGATAGGTTGGGACGCATCCGTGCAACCGTTGTAAAGAACGTGAGATCTTAACTGGTCGATCTCGTGACATATTCCGTTGGTTCTCCATCCGTTCCCGCCGGTTTGTCCGTCCGTGTCGCTCAGCGGGTGCCATCACCAGTTCTGCACCCTCGCATCCGTCAAAACGTTGACTCTTCTTTTATTACGTGGCTGGTCACGCGTTAATAAATTTCGATGAACGATCGAAGCCGAACGAAAAATTCGTTCCTATCTTTTCGAATAACCAATTACTCGTCCTGTGCGCCAAAATAGCGTCCTTCCGTCACGCGCTATCTGATCGCGATCGTTACGATCTACAAACTTTGCGCCCATCTTTGAGGGCCGTTTGTAAAATTAATACAATAATGACGCGAATAATGACGATCATATTATTCGGATGAACGAACGTTTTGTTTTAACGTCTACCATCTCGTTAAATTGTGTAAAAAATTCGTCGAGATTAATAATAATGTATACGACACGTACACACACACGCACGCACGCACGCACACACATACATATGAATAATATAACGATAAATTGTATATTAAAGATTCGTATTTTGTCCTCCGTGTTGCAGGTCTCGAGTCTCAGGTTCAAGATTCCAAAGACCTTTATTGGTTCTAGAAGCGAGTCACGGAGTCTCGTGGGCCGAATTAATTCGCAACACATCCGGTGGGTGGATCCGCGAAAGAAAGAGGCACGAGCTCTTCGAAACGGCGAACAGGAATCGGAGGAACGACGAATTGTCATCCTCGCTCGAACGAACGTAGCGACAAAATGGCGAATACGACGCTGTTGGGAGGACGCGATCGAGGAGAAACGAGCCTGCTCTCAAACGTGATACTAGCGTGCTAAGGAACGACGATCCATCCGGCGAAACGGAGAGCTGATGGACGAAAGGGGGAGAGGAGAGGAAGAAATTTTTGTTATTACGGTCGGACGAACGTATGCGTTCACGCCGAGCAAGTGTACATAGTGTTACCTAATTTACCTTAAGGATCTACTATTAGCGTACAACTCGGATAGTATTAGAGGAAGTACTTTGCGCGCACTATTACCTTTCATAGTGACTGACGACGAAATAATTACGTACTACATATATGTCCGACCGGCCGCTGAAAACGACAGATTCTCTAGTTCGTATAGAGTGTAGGGAATTGTAGGCCATCGAAAGGCGAGTCGAAATTTTCCAAATAATTAGAAATAGTCGAACGATCGAACAACTAATCTAACGGAGTCTGAGTCTATCTCTTCGAACGTTGTCGGACGAAACCTCCTTTTTATTCTCGAATGTCATCGTTGAAACGACGTCGAATCGATGAGTTTCGTTAAAACGTTGTCACGATGAGTCGTTTATTTATCGAAGGAAGGAAGATGCGTGAAAGAGGATGAAGGAAGAACGACCGATGATTGGATTGGATTATTTGGAGAATTTGAGTACAGATTTAAGTGAAATATTTATTGACCAATGATCTTGCCATATATATATAATAAATATATATATATATATATATTACTATTATTATTGTATCATAACACCGATGCTGCAGAAATTCTGAAATCTCTCCAAGTCGGACAAAAAAATTAAAAAAAAAAA